AGGAATACGGATGCCTCACCTTTGGAATGCATCATGCCAACATCATTTCCAGCTTTTGCACTGTAAAAATATGGGTACCATAGGAAAGTCTGAAGGTTCAGATTAGATGCAGCCTCCATGACAGTCTGTTGCTTCTGCAAGCCTGCAGAAATTGATACTGCACAACAGGCACATTTTTTAAAAAAAATCCGTTAATTTTGCATCACTGTTATTTGAAGGGACAGATGTGATTAGCAAATAAAAACGCAGTGTAGGGAGATAGCCACCAGATGGTAGCAACCACAGTTGAATTTTCTCAGTTATACTGGATTTCTTGAAACCATGAACACTCGTGCATGTGTTTATACATGTGAGCTCAACAGGGTGATCTCTAGAAATACTACATACATTGTGAACAACTGCTCAAACTCTCCTACATCAAAAAGTACCAGTGAGAAACATCCTCCTTGGTCACTTTGCTCCTGTTAGCAGAACACATCCTGTATGTTTCTTCTGACAAGCAGGTGAGACAAAATTAGGTTGTTCGCAAAAATCAGCAATATGATTGAGAGTAGTCCTCAGTCAACTGGTTGTTGCAGTGTCAGATTTGATTCTCAGTCTAAAGTCAAGAAGCCTCTGGTGCTTACTAAACTCCTTTGCGTGATAGTTTCTGCATAAAGGTTGTAAAACTGAATAGTGTGCAGTGGAAAAAACTTTTTCAGGGTATTTCACTACTCTATGCTAATACCATCTGCTCATCAACGCAGTAGTGAGCCTGGCCTCTAGACTGTTCAAGGCAAACATAAAAATCTGCCCTGGTGCATAGAAAAATAAATACAGAACTCCTAATAAAATACTATAGTTTGCTATATTTCTGCTGATTCTGATTTGCGCAGCTACAGGGACTGCATCAGGCTTCCATAGTCACAATCTCCCCAGATATCAGAACAATGTAACATTTAGGAAACAAGACAACACTGACTATGTGTATAAAGGAGAGTGCATCAGGCCTTCTGGGAGCTTCCTCCACCCTTTGTTTCTGGGTAAGTGCAAAAGCTTACATCTGCATGAGTTATCACCATCAGGTGGCAAAAAAACCCAACCCAAAAAGCCTTGCCAGCACTCAAATCCTATGCCATCACTACCTTAAGAATTACTGTTATTTTGTTTCTAGAGCTTCCTGGCTCAAGAGTTGGGATACTGACAGAAAAAAAGATGCTAGACTTTGAAGAGTTCACAAAGTCCCTCTGCACAAAGTGCCAGCTCTGCACAAAGGATGGCAGTGCTACTTTGCTTGCCAAGTGCCCCATGCCTCTGAAGGACTGACATTTTGCATCAGAACCATGAGATATCATTTCGGGTCCTCTGCTTTTAAAGTATGTAGGAACAACAGTTTTGGTTTCTATACGTAGGGGTAAATTGCTCTAAATTGTCTGTCTCAAAATTTTTTTTGGTCCTCATGCTCTTTTGGGTCTCATCTCTACCTCTTCCCTTGATACTGTAGTGGCAGGCAGTAGAGCTGTTCTGGAAATACATATCCTCCACAACAAGATCCCACCAGAGCTTCCGCATTAATTAATGACCTGTCTGGATTGCTGTGTTGCTTTCTGAACCATGATCACAGCAGTGGAAGTTGGAAAGATATGGACTTTATTATAGACAATCCATTGCTCCGGCTTCTGCCACCCTCTTTGTCATGACAGAAATTAAGACGTATCTGCACCTCTCTTCTTCTATTCACCAGTGGCTACAGTTCCCATTGAGAACAGGTCTTGTTTAGTATTATGTTTCATCTTCCCCCTAGAAGTTTATTTCATGGGTACTACTGATACAAACAGAAGCAGTGGTGGAAAGTATAATGCTAGCTGTGCTAATCCTATCATTGAATTTGTATGGGAAACATCCGGCAAAAGACTGCTTGGAGTAGCAGTGGTGAGCATATCATGCATGGCATACAGTTGTGAACCTGTTGCTGTATCTTGGAAGAGGAAGCAGCACAACAGTTGAAACACAATTATGTGTAGGGTCTGTGCTACCTTATGCCTGCTTATGGCATGCTAAGGCTAACTCCTGAAGTCAGTTTACACTCCTTTGCACAGCTGTGGACTGCCTTAGTTCCAGCAATAAACTGCACATAAGTACGTTTCATGAGCTAGCTGCCCTGCAGCACAGAAAAACACAGCTGGCCCAAAATAGTCCAGGAGCTCATCAGATCTGCATGTCATCCACCGCACTACCCTGAATAGTTCTTTGTGGCCACCCTTTTAAAAGTACGATCAGAGCTGGCCCTGATCCAACATCCATGGGCCTTTATAGACTTGAAGGGTCTAAAAATAATGCATTTGAAATAATACACTCAAAGCAGGAATATGACAGCCTGATGGAGCTCAGGACAGACTGTCTCTTTTGGTGGCTGAGGAGCAGTCAGTGGGAACTAATTGCATTGATCATTTCTCTTCCCTGATTGTATGATCATGATTTTTAAGAGTCTGGGATCAGCTGCAAGTACAAGCTGTTACAGACCTGAGAATAATTTCCCAAACTATTGCTGCCAACAGACTTGTGCCTGCCCCAGAATACTCCAGGATGTAGGGAGAGTGCAAACATGTTCTCACTTTTTCTGCCATGGCTGCTCAGCAGTGCTCCAACTCTGCAGACTTACTGTTGGCCATGATCTGTGTGCCACTCACCCTGCTAATATTATTTTCCCATCTCACAAAGAACTTTTCAAAATCTTCCCTTATAAGAAAACAACCTTAACAGGGAAAAAAAAGCCCAACACCAAACCCCATACATTGAAGAAAACAGAGGGTTCCTAGCTAGACCCATAATACTTTCCTATGTCTGCTTTCTGAGTGAGCGCCATCTTTAGGTGTCTCCATTCAAATTTAATCATCCCCCTTCTTTAAGCAGAAGGTAACCCCATGAAGCCATTGGAAGAAAAGCCTAGCAACTGCTCTTTTGTGAGTCTCGGTGCATCTGCTGTGATTTGTGCCACATCTCCAACTCTTGCCATGCTTCAGGCTCAAGCATTTTTTTCAAAAACCTGCAGCCTCTTACTCTATTCTCTGCAGACCCTCAGGAAATCACAGACAGGGCCTTGTACCTGCATTACATAGAATGTATAACTGTTAGCTGTGACCATCATTTACATGAAGCCCTGTTCATGCTATTCTGGCAATGCACAGGGATTTGTATCTGCTTTGGGGCAGTGCATGATTTACAAGGCATGATAAAAGAGACTAAAGACAGTATCTCTTGAATATTATTTCCATCTGTGATACTTTGCCTGTGTGACCTTGGGAGAACAGGCGCTATATTTAAGTTCCCATGCATGTGTTTTTTCCTTACAGTGGCTCTAATGCTTTTTAGCTGGTGAGTTCAGTAGATGTTGAATGTGTGTGCACCATGCATATAACACAACAGAAATATTAAGCTATGATGTCATACAAAACTAAACAAGTACGTTAACAAGCTAAACCTAACAAGACAGGAATGTTTACTTGTACACTGGGAAAACAACAACAACAAAAAAGGATATTACCTTGTAAAAGTTTTTGAAATTTTCTCTTACACTGCCCTGTTAGTGCTCACAGCTTGAGTCACCTGTTTCTGAGAGCTTGGGCACAGCCAGTGAAATTCCCACCGAGATTTCTAAGCGGGTGCATGAATGCAGGAGAACACTATCACTGTCAAGCATTACTTAAAAAACAATCACACCAACTAACGAACAGTGGAAAATTGTTACATGTCAGAACAAATTGTTGCATATTGTAACCTGTTAGATATGATAGCAAATCTGTACAGGGCAGGTAGTTACTTCACTGCATAACAGGGAGAAACTACTGCTGTGTCACGCCACCACTGCATGTTACTCTGAAAGCATAACAACAAAGCAAGATTTCAGCGAGGATTACAAAGTTCTGGAGGGAATGGACTGCTTCTTTCCACTGTAAGAAATGTCTCTGGTTCTTTGTGTTTTACACATAACTCACAAAAGAGCCTGGTCTTCTGTTCCCTCTATGGTATAATGGTATGGTGAAGCTGTGCTTCAGACGTGAGAAAACACAACCCACTGTGACACAGACATTCCTAAATGTGCAAGCTGTTACAGTACTGATCACAGAGCAAAGAAAACTGGTGTGGCCGCATTGTTACATCAGAGACAGAGGCAGCCGTAAAAGGACAAAAAAAACCCTTTTCTTTTGTGTATTCTATTTGCTGCATGAGAACCCACACCATGTTTGTAAGCCTGAAATGTCAGAGAGCTAAAGAAAACTTGACTAGGGCAACCTGGGGGGAAGGAGGGAAGAGAGGGGAGAGGTTTAAAATCAGCTTTAAAGGTGTAACTTCTAATCACCTTGCTGCATAGCAGAATTCAAAGACCCACGTTAGACAGCGAGGCTTCCCCTGCAGCATGCAGGCAGAGTGCGGTGAGCCAGCTCCAACACCCTGCGAGGAATAAAACACTTCAGAATTAAACATCCAACATCACAACCATCACTGAAAGTTAGACTCTCCTATCTTTTAATAAAGGTAGCTATAGATGAGGGGTAACAGCTCAAATTACTCCTCAAAAGGCGTAGCAGATACTGAAAGCTTGGAAAAATAGACTATATTTCTCCTACATAGCTTTGGGTTCCTCAGTTTCAGCTTTGATGTTAGAATAATTTGTATTGAATTCTTCACACTAAAAACTACTACATCACTAAAAACATTGACAAAACGCAGGTTAGAGTACCTTCCCCCTCCTCATTTGCGTTCCCTCCACAGACTTCTCCAAAGACTCTTAAGCAATTTTACTTGTTTTAACTTGTCTGTGAATTTTAAGCATCATGTATAAAGACAGCCTAAGCTGACCTCCTGGGCATTTTGCAGTCTGGTTTATGCTAGGAAACCTGTCTTTCCTGCAAATTGCAGACAGGGAATGATTATGGTAGGGCTACGACTAAACCAAAAGCTATAGTTTCCTTTTGGCTTATAGGCACTTGTCCTAAAATCTACACAAGCCTTTATTTCTGTTACATATTCTACTCCAGCGGTATGTATTCATCTAAATAGAGGTAAGATTCAAATTTTGAGTGTTTCCATGTGCAGAAGGAATCAGAGGTGTAGAGTCTGCTTTATCATTCAGTGGATCGCTTTGTGAGGGAAGGACACTCCCCAGTGTGACACCACCATCAGATTGTGATGCAAGAGTCTTCAGGAGCTAAGGCACAGTCTTGCCTTTGGACAGCATTAAAACACCTCCCTTTTTTTAAAGGAATCATTTCTATAGCAAATTTGTATTATCCTCCTTCAGCTAGAACCCTTTTGCATGATGTTTTTCAGAGGCAGTGCTTTCTCCCAGCAGCACATGTCTGGGCAATGGAGCTATGTGTCCTTTCGAACTGAAATTCTAAAGCGGGGACAGCTATTATCACAAAATGGCCAGGGTACTCACTGAATAGTTATCTCTCTTATGTCAGCAGAAATCCATTTCATGCTTTATGGTCCTAATCCAAAGTTCACTGAAGCCTGGGGGTTTTCATTAATTTTGATGGGCTTCAGATCAGATCATTTGAAAAAAAAAAAGACCAACACAATGTTGTACTTCACCACCTAGCTCCCAGCCTCTGGCATTAAAGCTGAGAAAAGTAGAACCCAGCTGAGGTTTTCACTCAGCTCTTTCCCACACCCCTTATACATCTGAGAAGAATACTTTACAGCTTTAGAGTAAATCTGAAATTCTTACATAGCTCTCACCCAGTGCACCCAGTGGAATTTCCCAGAGAATGGCTTGTGGTGGGTAGCTAAGACAGTTTTGGCACTCTTCCCTCGGGTATCTTCATAAACACCATCTGGTGCAGCTCATCCTTGAAGAAATTACTGGTTTTGTCTGCTGTGTTTAACAGTCACATGTGCCTCCAGGGAATAACTTATTTGCATGGTGAAGGCAGAAGAAGAGCACAGTTACCAGGCAGCTACCAGCAGTGGAGCCCTCTGAGTAGCTTGAAGAGAATGGTTGTGTCTGTTCTGGGCACCTGGAAAGTAGGGAGTCTTTTTGGCAAGGCAACACCACCACTGGAATAACTGATTAGGAAGGACAAACAGGCAAGCCAAAGATGTTGCTAACACTGGGAGACAAGGTTGTGGTTCTGGCAGAGAGATCTTTTGTAATCAGGACTGAGGGAATCCTGTCACAAAACAGGAGAGTCTGATGGGTCAAAGGAGAATGGAAGAGGAGGAAGGAATACAAATGGGAAATTTATCCCTGAAACAGAGCAAACCAAAAGAGGGGCTGTTCCTTGGGCATTTGGAAGCAAAGACTGCTTCATGACTGACAAGAGTAGACTCTGAGAGAAAAGGTGATTCAAAAAACCCAAGGCATTGTTTGGAAAGAGGGTAGAAGACAATCGAGAAATATATACAGCAAGAGATGAATACACCAAAATAAGGAGAGAGAAGGAAATAAAAGGATGAGAGAAGAGGAAGGACAGGCTTGAGTTCCTTAGTCTGGGCAGGGCACAACCTGGTTGGGAAAGTGGGCTGATTAACCTAGAACGTGCCCGCCATCAGGATGATGTCTGAGCCAGGGGGATCTCAGACACCAGTTAACTGAGCCGAGCTCTCTAGGCTGGGAATTACATTAAACAGAAAAAGACATACTACTTGTTGTATAAATGGCAACTTACTACGTTCCTGCAGAGACAAGGAAATACATGTACTTTGTTTGTCTGAAGGCTTATGTTTCCCTCCAGCTGCTCCACATCTGAGGAACAGTAAAACATTTGGGAGAAAGAGTAATTTTGTTCTGCTGTGTTTGTACAGTGTGAGGAGGTCATGCTCCAGGCTACTACTACAGTCTGAAGAATAATTAAAAATAATGATAACTTTTAAATTGCCTACAGCACTGGAGTTTTATTTGCTCTCTCTGCTGGACTGCCATCATGCCCATTTAAATTCATTATGCAGAAGAGGATATGCAGGATAAACACAGAAAATTACTGAATCCTTAAAAATCAAAGGGATAACAATGTGCTTTCTGGGCTGTTCCCTCTAGTATCTTGAAAGGTCTATAATTTGCTTCTCTCAAAAAATTTTGGAATGGCTCTTTCCTCTTCATTGCAGTCCCTCAGAAGATCACATGTGGCATTTCTGACTGGCAAAAAAAGTATTTATTATGTTAACAGATATGTAATACAACTTTTCTATAAAATAAGTGGGACTACACTGTAACAAGGCACAACACTGACCTCTGCATGCTATAATGTAAACTGATGTTCAGGACCCAGCTCTTGCAGCGAGGTATCCACACTGATAAATGCCTACATTGTTTGTTGTTGCTGGGTTTTAGAAAAAAAAAGCAATATAGGTTTAGTCCTGCTTCCACTCAGACAACTAGGGAGGTTTTACAAAGTCAAGAGGAAAAATAATTCACGTCATCATTGCTGCTTGACACTCATATTGCCAGTCTCAGTCACTATGCCAAAAGATGACTAGATGTCAGCACTTGACAATTGCATGCTCTCACAGCTGTGGGGTTTTGGCAGATCAGAGAAGACAGGTTTGTACCAATGCTGAAACAGATCTCATTTCAGCTTGTTTCATTCTGTCCCCGTGTTAAAGCCTCCTTGGCCATCGAGGCATGGATTTTGTCACTGTTGGTCTCTGAGTAACATCTTGGCAGAGACAGCATGAGCACCAACTGAAACTAGCTGCCTAAACAGTTGTCAGCTTCTTGAGGGCCGTAAGGAAGTGGATGCTATGGAAGTCTTCAGGCACAGGCTCACCTACCCCGAAGTATTGTAATGGTGGAAAACATACAAGCCCCACCAAATTGTTCCTTGGAGATTTGAGGTTATATCTGAGAATGCAGAAGGTATAAAAATTGGTTTAATTTTTCCCAGTTATGCAGGAAGGCCACTCAGAGCCATTAACTGGTGTTTTTCTTAGATGTGTGTGTGTGCATGTGCACACACACACACACACAGAGTAATATATGAAAAATTGATACAAAGCCTTCAAAGCCTTTGAAGTCACGAAGATGGCGGGGCGGGGAGAAATATGGAAAGTGTTGCTTTGGCACAGATTCTCCCGTCTTTTCAAGTGGGATCAAAGATGCTGTGGTGTGGTAGCCTTTCCACGCAGAATGGTCACAGTGTATGCAAGTCATTTGCTGTAGCAGATCCATAAAAAAGCCTGCTAACACGCTTCAGAGCAGACATAGACTTAAAAAAACAAGGTGTCATTCATTTGAGAATCCAGTGCTTTGCTCAAATGAGGAGAAAATTGTTTACATGAACCCAACTCCCACTGAAATCCAAGCCAAGTTTCCCACTGAATTCAATGTCAGGAGCAACTACCACACCTGTACGAATTAACTGCCTCTGTGCATGAGGGCCAAATGTAATACATCATGGATCTGAGAGAGTTCCCAAATGCCTGTCATGATTTTGTATATGTTTTTGATATTTCTTTTGGGGTTTTGTAGAAAAACAGATGTTTGGTGTAAATAAATGTAGCAGATCATTTGCCTACTTTTGCTTTGACAAACATCTTTTTCCACGTCCTAGATATTCATGCTTATATTATTTGGAAATTGTTTCAGTGTGAGTGCTTATATTCAGGAGCTGTGTCTTGAATTCAAGCTCAGTTATTTTCCTTCTTTTCATCATTGTTCTGCTGTTCCTGGCTAATCTCATTGTGCTATTCTGAGACATCCATAAATAATTATCAGTACAGACTGCTCACCATCAGAAGTGTGTAATGTAGGAATGGAGGAAGTCTCAAATGTTGGCTGGAGCCTGTTTTCTTTCCTGAAATGTTGTATCTTGCATAATATCTCCCTGCTGAAACATTTGTCTTGGAATCAAAGAAACTAGCATAGGAAGGCAATTTTTGATCAAAACCACATAAAACCATATAAGCTTATGCAGTTGATCACAAACATCAGCTTTTTTGCCCCCTCCAGCAACAGATATTTTTGACTTTGATTTAGACAGCTGTTTGACATCTTCAGATATGGAACTGTCTGGGATTCTCATTCCTGTTCATGGTGATTCAGCATTTTCCTTTCCAACATCTTTTTGTGAACAGCTGCCACTAACAGACTCATTAGAAAGAAAGCTGTGTTTGTTACATGCTGCATCATCCTAACCATTAGATCTTACTGCTGACTGTATAGTATAGAAGAGAGAGATGTGTGCTTGCTCCAAAAGTGATGGCTACTTTTGCTGCTCATTTTTAATATTTGTGAGGGAAGAACAACAATTCTAATACCTGGAAAGAATGCAGATTTTTCACAGTAATGGCACAGGACTGTAAAAATAAATTCCGTGGGTGACTATGAAGTTTTCTTTTATTACTGTTATTATTACTTGTATTTTTTAAAGATCAGAAGTTTTGAAAAGAATTGGTTTGGTAGCCATTGATCTTCATACAATACAAAAAAGTCATCCTTGCCACAAAAATCTTACAATCAAAACATAGTATAAAAAGTAATTAAGGGCTAGGTATGAAGGCAAAAGCAAGATGATCGCATAAGAGATGATGAACCATGTTCCCAGCTCTCCCCAATAATGACAGAATACATTCCCTTTAGATTGATTTGTAACATTATGCATGCCTTGTATGTTTATAACAGCCTGTAGATGTCAACTGCTCCATTAAAAAAAAAATCTCTAATTTTCCACATCATGTCTTGGTTCATAAAATTGTCCAAAACTAGTTTAAAACTGTAAGTTGACTGGAACAATGTGTAAGGATACATGTACAAAACAGATCACTAGGAGGGAGAAAGTGAACCTAAGGAAGCTGGAACATTGTGTATACCTCTACTTAGCTTATGTCCAGCACCCAGTGCAGGTCAATCTCTTACTAGGGAGTTGCTAGGGAGATGCACCAAATCATGAGAAGGATGTGCTATTTGTTTGCTGCCCTAGACTATTAAGTACTGAATCCAAATATTATGCATTAAAAATAATTTTATTTTACTGAAAACTCATGAGAAAATGACCATTCCTATAGAGATGTAAGCAGCATTACTTAGACTAGAAACTAGCCCAGGCAAGAGCGCCTGTCGTTGGGATTGCAGTGGCTCTTTGGTTTATAAAAAGAGTTCTCAAACTTGATGAAAGAAAGCAAGTTGTTTTCATTAAGATAAATGACTATTTAAGGCCACACAATCCAAGGGACAAAGCACTAGATTTTCCTTACTTAGCATGATTCCTTTTTCCCTTGGTTTCCCTTTTCCTGCTATAGACAAATCCCCTGCTTTCTTGCTGCCTACACATCCTGGTAGACCAACATTTTTCTGTCCTTTGCTTACATTTTGTAAAGGCACAGCGATGCCTTCTAAGCTCAGCTTTGTGGGTTTCTCTAGGGGCCTTCCCACTGTTGCTATGCTCCCCCCCAAATTTGTCTTCTGCACCCCAGGAAGGCAGAGGGGAGCAGAGGAGACCCCCAAGGGGCTCCTGCTCAGGGAGTTGTTGTCATCCTTTGGTAGGGCCTGCCACCATGGTCCTGGTGAGATGAAGCTTGTTAGGGAAGGATGAAAACAAGGGCTGCACAAAATGGTGTCTGGCCCCTCGCCCAAGGGCCTGTGAGGGAGCCACCGCAGGGAATGCCCGATGGCACCTCCCTGCCCTCAGTAGCCTCACTGAGGTGGGCGGGGCAGCTAGCCAGGATGCACCTGATTGGTGTGTTTGGTGTGTGGGGCGGGGCCAGAGCTTGAGGTAGCCAATAGAGGCTCAGGAGACTGTGTTCAGGGAGCGCCAGAGGGCGCTGATGAGCTGTGGGGGCAGTGGCAGGCAGGGGCAGGGAACATGGCTGCTGGCAGCAGTGGGGCCTCAGCGGCCCCACTTTCTCTGTGCCTCATTTTCTCTGTCTGGCTACCCAGCAGAAGGGAAGGGGGAGGCTTGGCCCTTCCCTTGGACCCAAAAGAGAGTTGAATCCCCATGCTGTGGCGCTGCAGTCCCTGGCTCTGGTTTAGTGGGTATAGCTGGGGGGGAAGGCTGGTGTCAGTCATGGGGTAACTCCTGGGGCCTCTGTGCCATAGAAACAAGTGTCAGTAAATGGCAGCTCAGGTTGGCATGAGGACAGATACAATACTTCATGATTTCAACAGAAATTTTACATTTATCCGGCTAAATATTTTACTAAATATTTTGCCTCAGGTGAAAAATTCCTGGGTTTCTGCCCATTTTCACTCTTCTCTCACCTCCTGTCCAAAAGGCCACTTTATTGAATTGAAAGCAACGTGGTCTGTGGCAGACCTGCTTTAAACAGCAGATGACTACGAGGGAAGCTTCTTGAGCAGGTAGGGCCAGAGCTATCAAGCAGAGCAGAAGGAAAGCCACAGACTTCGCAGTGCACCAAAGCATCCCCCATGCAAAACTCAGTGCTGGCAGGTTCCCACCAGGGTGCTGTTTTCCAGGAAATATTTTTCCAATCCATAATAAACCAAGGCTTCCATTTTTAGAATTGTGCGCATGCAAAAGCCTCTTCATTGTGACGTATGGGCCTAATTATAAAGCAGGACTGCTTTAACCAGTTTAAGTACAGCCCTGGCAGCACAAATTTCAGTAAGATGCGTAGATCTAACATGAATAGTTTTCTTTGAAAGCATCTGAAGCTGGAGTTCAGAACCATTTTTCTGAGTCTTATTATACTGTTTCACAGTTCCACAGTGGGCCATGTCCACCAAATGGGGATGGGAAAGAGCCACGTTACAGGTTCTTCCTGACAAGAATATTGTGGGAGGCAACTTAGAATATCCTTGCAGCTGGTATTTCAGGCTCCCTAAGACATGGGCAGATGACCTATGGTTCTTCTTGACAGAGCAGTTTAAGTAAACTACACTCACTGTATAACTATTTATCACTTTCCTAGGATTTCTCCACATTTTTGCAGGAGTAAACAGGTTCCTTTCTTGGGGCAGCTAAGTGCACAGTGCAACACATTATTGACGTAAACTCACCCTCAACAGTTGAGGCTCAGGCACTTGTTTCGCAAATCTGCCATAGGAGTGGTAGCCTCAAACAGAGGGGATAAGTGCACAGGAACGTCCTAAAACCACTTCATCAAGATTTGCCAGTGTTTGGTTGAATCTTAGTTCATAGCTCAAATAGTAAAGGCAGAAATTCAGAAGATTTATCTCAAGGAGAAGCAATAGGATTTCTCTTATCAACAAGGTTTCCAGACAGCAGTTTTACATTTTCACTTTTTGTACCCAAGTATTGGGTTTTCTACTTATTTATTTTGGGGGAGTATTCATTAGATATTCACTAGAAATAAACCTGACTATACACTTCAGCTAACTCTCATTTGCAAATGGGAGGACCTCACTCTCCAAAGCTCTTGTGAAGATGGAGTTTGACAGGACAGATCGTTTCCTGTTCTCTACCACCTATGTGCTTCATAAGACCTCACAGCATTATGTTCATTAGCACCTTGCCTTTTCTCCTTATTCAACTACTTGCTTCCATTTAAGCTTCTTATGTGACACAAGCACAAGGAAGGAAATAATGTAATTAACATCACAGCAATCTAATTTAAACACAGTTTTGCCACACTCCATAAAACTATTCAGTATTTAATCAGGACTACTGTGTTTAGGAATGAAAGGTCTATGTGAATGACTCACCGTGAACAAATTAAAGATCAAAACATGTGGTTGAAAAAGGAAGTGGCTGGCTGCAAATCCTCTGTGTGAATCAAATTCTGCTACTCAGGTTATTTTAAATTTTTGGAGGCTGTCTTGTTTCATTAGCTAGCAAAGGGTAACTTAGTCCAGTTATCTAACTTAGCTTCAGTAAGCTACAGAAGGAATTTTTTATTAAAATTATATGCAACAAAATAATTAAGCAATCAGTAAAAAACCCCAGATAAATAATGTGTTGGGGATGAGAGTATTTCTGTTGTGAATGGAGACTATCCTGTTTCATGAGATTCTTCGTCCCGCTGGACTGTACCATCCCAGCAAGGAGCTTCTGTTACTCTAGAGGCTAAAGCTAACCATCACAAACAAATCTGCAATAATCTGGAGCTGGACACAACATTAATGAGGTACATTAGTGCACCACTAGCAAGGGGAGGAATGGTGAGAAAAGGCAATGATGCTTCAATAGCCAAAGCCGGTCAGAAGCTTTGCTCTGCTCCTCTTTGCATCAGGAGCTCTGAAGTGATTTGGCGTTTTGCATTTCTGCAGTCACCTGCCGCTCTTCAGGAACAGGTGAAAAGCACAGAACAGAACACAGGAAGGACAAGCAGCAGAGCTGAACGATAGTTTTCAGCAGTATAAGCAAAAGTACTCCGGTGTTCAGGAAACGCGGTAGGAAACTTCGCACACGGGCATGGGGAAAGGGGCGGTTCGCCTTTTGAAAGGGGTGGACTGGAGGTTTGTTGCCACCCAGTGGCAGCGGATATCTGTGCCCTTGAACCAGCATTTCCAGTCGAGGCTGACGAAGGGGTATGTAAATTTTTTTTTAAGCGTTATTTTTAGCCAATAGACAACAGATGTGTGGGAAGTCAGGTTGCTGCAGTCAACAATCTAAAGCTTCCCATAAAACATCTCACTGCCCAAACGAATTTCAGTGCCCCAATGTTTTCTCATTGTATCGACTAAGCCCACTGGCCTTACCCCAGGGCTGCTGGATATCTGTGATCTCCGAGCACGATACCTTCATCTTTAGGTTGGGATCCTTCCCCTGGACAGAGGTGGTCTGGGATGCCCAGGTTCCACTGTCAGCTAGGGCACACAGAGGCAGAGAAACAGCCTGTCAACAGGGACCCTAAAAGATGAGGGCAAAGACCTCACTTAAATTCAGCAGTTAACCTTCCCTTGCTGTACCTCTCTCAGAAGAAAAATGCCAGGTATTGCACACAGAAATTGCTACTGAAATGCTGCTCAAACCCAAATGCACATGGGATTGTGCTAAGTACTTGAGGTTTTGCTCATCGTGTTGAAGCAGTCCACCTCATGTATGTTAAAAGTGGCAGTAAAGAACAAAGCAGGCCAAGCCACTCACTGTCTGGCAGATAACTTTATAGACAAAAAGTGGTGCTGATCACGACAAAATTTTTCAAGTACTCTTTTGCGGTCTTCTGGGACAAACATGGAGGTGCACATTGCCATATCAGTCAACTATGGAATTCTTCTGGCAGAAGAGACTGCAAAATTTTAGCATCATAAAAAAACTTATCTAATAAATGGCCAGGCAGCCAGTGTAAGCGCAATAGTGGTATAGTTGGAGATTTTTTCCACTAGTGAAGGCACCAGTTTAAATAAATGGGAAGAATAATAATTACAATGAAACCCCCAAATAATAGAAGCAACCCATCGCAGACAGGATTTTACTAAAAAAAAAAAAAAAAAAAAAATAGTGGTATAGTTGGAGATTTTTTCCACTAGTGAAGGCACCAGTTTAAATAAATGGGAAGAATAATAATTACAATGAAACCCCCAAATAATAGAAGCAACCCATCGCAGACAGGATTTTACTAAAAAAAAAAAAAAAAAAAGTACATTTCCTCATCATTAAATTTCACTGTCCCATTATTTTGGAGTTCAAATTAATTTTGTCACATCACCTGTTGTCAGGATGACTTTCATATTGAACTGATCAATGTTTTCCTAAACAAGTTGTTCTTGAGCCATTCAAAGAGAGCTATAAAAAGGGGTGGATCAGGAATACTGTATTGACAATCTAGCATTTTCCCAAAATTCATCACTTCATTCCCTATCATTCAGAATCTTCATGTAACAGGGAAAGGAAACTTAGCTTTAGAGCTGGAAAGACTATATCTAAGAGAAAACCCCAAATGTGTCATAAACATAGTACACCATGGCATATCGGTGCCATGACTCAGCACAGAAGTGGAATGGCCTGAAATACCCATTGACTGTCCCCCTCACATTGTCTAGCCAATTAAAAATCTTTTATGTCAGCAGTTCCTTTGATCACAGTCATTATCCTGGAATAAAGCAGACCACAATGACTTTCTGGCACATAGAAGCCTTCAACAGAAGCATCTTACCTGTTAGAATTTTTACCCTGAGAACAGTGAGTTGCAAAGTTTAATAAAAATCTATGCATTAACAGCCCACCCTTCTGGTATGTGTAAACACCTGTCTGTACAGGCCAAAGTTAGCTCTCCTGAAGTCCAATGTGGCAGTCCTACTTGTTCTGCTTCCACCAAGCAGAATCCAGAACTCCACCATCTTGTGGTCACTGCAGCCAACACTGCCCCCTACCTTCACATCCTCAACCAGTTCTTTTTTGTTAGCACAAGGTCCAACAGCGCTCCACTTCTTGTTGGCTCCTTCACCACCTGGGTCAAAAAGTTATTATCGATGTTCTGCAGGAACCTCCTGGACTATGCGCACCTTGCCGTGTGGTCCTTCCAGTTGATATCAGGACAGCTGAAGTCTCCCATGAGAACCAGGGCCTGAGATTGTGAGGCTACTTTTAGCCATCTGTAGAAGGCCTCATCTACTTCCTCATCCTGGTTGGGTGGTCTATAGTAAACACCCACCACAGTGTCACCCATGCTGGCCTGTCCCTTAATTTTTACCCACAAGCTTTCAACCTATTCTTCAACCACTCGAGGGTAGAGCTCTATACATTCCAGTTGCTCCTTCACATAAAGAGCAACTCCACCGCCTCACCTCGTAGGCCCATCTTTCCTGAAAAGTATATAGCCATCCATGGCAGCATTCCAGTCATGTGTGTTATCCCACCATGTCTCTGTAATTGCAATGAGATCATGGCCCTGCAACCACATACAGAACTCTAGCTCTTCCTGCTTATTCCCCAAGCTGCGTGCATGCATATTGTACCTACACTGTGATCCCAGTATACAAACGTATTCTCCCCCCACCCTCTGCTTGTTTATTATCGTAAATAGAATCATTCAAGATAGGAATATTTCATGTTTACCAACAGGCAATATTTATTATTATAACTGAGAACTCTACATACAGTATTGCACAAAATTATAATGGACCAATCAACAAAACCATGCTCCTACATAACTGTAAATAGCACTTTAACAGAAGTGTAACACATTGTGCGTCAAGTGTCTTAGTAAAGTGACATTTTAGAAGATTATTTCATGGGCATATGGAAGTGAAAACTTTCATTCGAGGCATATACACAAAACGCATGAAAAGGATTGCTACACCTGTTGCAGGCCTAAAAAAAAAAACCCAAACCAACCCCCCCAAACCACACCAAAACAAGTTAAATGAGTAAGTACCAGCACTCCTAGCAACCACCAGCACTACCACATTCAAAGTCTTAATCCTGTAGCAAGAAGCAGAGAAACGGGATCTGAAGAAAGGCCCTCAGCTTGGAGTTTTAGACCTGTTAAGGCAGCTATATCACATCACCTGCACTTTTTTGTTTAGCAAGACTGAAAGACTTATGGCACTATAAACACACCTAGCCAGTGTATTACCAGTAATTCCTGAATTACTATATAATGTTACTGTGTACAACAGTTGGCTGCTGAAAGAAATAGTGAAAGGTCATGTAGTATACAACCAAAATTCAAGTACTTAATATTAAACTATATTTGTAGAAATTCTGACCTTCTGTTCCTGTGCACTACATAGATCAAGAATTATTTTTCATTTTTATTCTTGCCTCTGTATCTTTCCCCAAATGGCTTGGGGAAAAAAAAGGTGTAGAGGGAAGAACAAAAATGTAGCCACAATCCTGTGTCTTCAGCACATTAGTATTCCAAAGCTGTTGGCAGGCTCATGAGTACAATAACACATCAACGTGACCTCTGGATTTTCAATATGCAGCCTTAACGCTCTCGATTCATTCCCACCTCAACACCTTCTTGTCCTTCACTGCAAAATCCCAGTCTCTGTTGTCCCCTACTTCTTATCTGCACCCTTTTCACCAGCTGTGCTGACCAGTTGCTCAGGCAGACACGTTGCCTTCTCTTCGGCACACGTGAGCAGCTTAGCTGCACATCATCATCCTTGGACTATCAGGGAAACATGGAAATAAAAGGATGGAAGAGTTACTTCTCTCATACCAGCTTTTGGGAAGGCCTGGAGAGACATTTGCACTTCTGCCTGAGCACCAGCAAAGAAGTGCTGATGACTTTATAAGCTTGAAAAACTCTGCTTTACAAAAACAGAATTCTGATTAGGAGAAAGTAAGTTTAAATTCCAAAGGAAAATACAAGCCTCCTATTAGCATAATATTTTAGTAATTTTAAACAATTATTAAATACTAGGGTTTTTTTAAATTATAAATGCTTTTTCTCCCATTACCAAGTTAACATCAAGACAGGAGTGAAATAGAAGTTACCACAAGTTTTGGTGAAAAACCCTGGTGCCTACAGTGTTAGAAAACAGAGTTCAAGCTGTAACAAAATTAGTAGCAGAGATGACTATAAAAAAGTAATGAAAGGTGCAAGATTTTTTTCTCAAAGTTTTCATAGCTTTCGGTGCACAAACAGCACATTCTGTGAGCATAGGGAATCAGAATCTGGAGGCAGTTTTACCAATTTTGCAATTTAAGTCAAGAAAGATAAACAGCAGAAATGTGAGAAACGAGGCCTGTGTGGATCCTGCTTTAGTACTCCAGTGCCTGAACATATTTTGTGTTCTTGAAAACGACTTTCTAAGTACAGCAGAGACTGTGCCTTCAACAAGGAAAGGAACAGAATTGAAATCGGGTTAGCACACTTTGAAGTATTTCTACAAGCAGTGCTATGGTAGTCTACCACTATATTAATACACAAACTTCTTTTCGGACCTCCCCAGATTGATGGGAAAATAAGCCAGCAGAAAACCCACACATAAAAAGATGAAAGCATCAGAAAACTACAAAAACAAAGCAAGCATCTACATAATCACAGTGAACTCTGAAGCTGAGGGCTGCGTGCCTGTGTATGTAAATCTTTACAAAGAGATATAAATGGTTGGGGGGTTTTTTTGGTTGTTTTTAATCCCCCAAATCAAAGCAGGCAATATATTCTTTCAAATGGGTTTTGGATGGAGAAGTGCGAGTAGAGCGGACAAAGAAAATGACAAAGGAAAAGAACAGTGAGATTTTATTTCCTTGGCATGTGAAAGTACAGAGACATTACTTCAGCACTTACTGTTCTTACCTTTTGGATCCCAGCTCATCACAAATTACAGCATAATTACATCAGCGGTGGAATTTAACACCCAGGTTACATTTTCAAGATTATTTCACTTTATTTTTCCTAATGGTACCCACACTTTACGCAGCCTACAAACCTGAAGAAAATGCATTCACTTCCAAAAGCTGTAATAGTAAGAGTAAGAGTTTTGGGGTGTTCAGAGTCACAGAAGTAGTCCTCAGATTTCAGATGTTAAAGCTTTCTCCACAGCCACATGTTCCTTTGATGTTTGGATTATTGAAGACAAATTCACTGGACAGTTTGTCTTCTACATAGTCCATTTCAGTTCCTAGAAGTGTCAGCTGTGCCTTCTTCTCAATAAACACTCTAACCCCTTGAACACAAAGACAAAAGAAAATTACAAAAAGCAAAATCATCATTCAGTTTGAAGTTCTCTTTTGACCAGTGACAAGAAATGGAAGCTAAAAAAGTGAAGACTACCAGTATAACTCGGTTTCCCTGCCCTAAAATGGGGCACTTTCATCACTGTTTATATTCTACATATAACACTCCAGCACTGTTATTTGTGTGTGCACATGAGCATATGCATTTTTGGGGGCACTAGATTTGAAAACATACTACCCAGGGAAATAAGCTGTAGAACTTGGGAATGCATCTCAGCTTCAATATTCAATTCCCACACATTGCAGTCAGTAACCCATTTCCTACCATTCTTAAAGACTGTGCATCCAACAAGATGCCCCAAAACCTTGAAAACCCAAACATTCCTCTCTTAAAGTGATTATTTTTTGCTCTGCCAAAACTATTAGGTCTACATTAACTATCAGCAACACTGAATCCTACAATAAGGCAAATATATGAACTTTCAAAGATATCCCAACCTTTAAGGATTAAGAATTAGTAGTTCATCTCAGGAAGCTGAAAGAGCTCATTTTCTAAAGCACAAAAAGTATCTACCTTTCTGGAAAGTTACTGAACTTTAAAACTGCAACTCTGACATAAAGGTGTGAGTGCACTGCTTTGGCTGTCCACAGATGAGGAAATAACAGAAATGTAAAACTGCATCAGTAAACAGCAACAAGAACTCATGAAGTTATATGAGAGATTGCTGGAAAGCTGTTTCATCACAGTAGATATTGAGACAAAACGTTATTACTAGCACAACTCAAGTCTGCGGGCAACTGAGTTGAATCTGCATGTTTTTGGAGTCAAACTGGACAGTAACTGACAGTGAAGGTTAAACCTAATGAAAGAGTTCGGAGTGATGCTGTTTCTCTTCCCAAGTCACTGTTATGCGTGATGGAGCCCTGCTTTCCTGGAGATGGCTGAACACGTGCCTGCCCATGGGAAGCAAGGGCACCATTGTTACAAACAAGGCAAAGGCTGAAAGTATAAAGAGGTTAAAAACAAGTTACAAATCAATTGTCGGGGTTTCAGCTGGGATAAGAGTTAATTTTCTTCCTAGTAGCTGGCATAGCGCTGTTTTGTGTTTAGTATGAGATTAATGTTGGTAACACACTGACTTTTTAGTTGTTGCTGAGCAGTGCTTACACTAGTCAAGGCCTTTTCAGCTTTCCATGCCCTGCCAGAGAGTAGGCAGGGAGGCGGGCACAGCCAGGACAGCTGACCCAAACTGCCCAACGGGATATTCCATACCATACGACGTCATGCTCAGTACATAAACTAGGAGATAGCTGGCTGGGGGGGGGCGGCAATTGCTGCTCAGGGACAGGCCATGCATCATGGGTCAGCAGGCGGTGAGCAATTGCGTTGTGCATCACTTGTTTTGTATATTCTCTTATCATTATTATTCTTTTCCTCTGCTGTTTTATTAAGCTGTCTTTATCTCAACCCGTGAGTTTGCTTACTTTTCCTCTTCCCATTCTCTCCCCCAGGAAAGAGCGAGCGAGCAGCTGTGTGATACTTAGTTGCTGGCTGGAGTTAAACCATGACAGCAATGAATAATAAGACTAGTTAGAGAAGGTAATTGGGAAAGTCCCTTGCAAATAAAATCTCTACTTTGCCAAGCCTTGGCTTAGGTATGATGATAAAAGTATTCCTTTATATATGCATTGCTCTATATTTTTCTCTAAGTATCTGCTATCAGTCACCTCCAAAGACATGAATGATGGCCTAGACTATTCCTGTGGAGCAGTCTCCAATGCAGAGACTTGTGAAGCTGCAGATTTTACTAACTGATTGCTTCAAAACAGGAACTAAGGTGACAGCAACTCCCACAACAGAACAGCAGGACTTCCCACTGTAACTCGTTACTTCAAGTAAGCTCTAGCCTGTACCTTGGCAAACCTGTAATAAGTTATTCTTCCCTCCAACCACCGAAATTTATTCTGCTGAATCAGAAACTCACCGTCTTGAACAACTTCCTCGTCAGAGTCTCCTTTCGATTTCGTATATTCTAATGTGTAAGAAAGTCCATTGCATCCTCTTGTGCGAACACCCACTTTCACGCCTACCTAAAAGCAGCCCAAAAAAGACGACACCACATTCATGACTTTTTAAAAACCTATTCTAGAACACCAAGATAAAAAGTATGCAGAACAACAAAATGCTGACATGTATTATTCTCCACTGCCTCAAAGCAGAACTGATTTACCTTAATGGATTAAGAGGTAACCTTTCTTTCCTTTTACAAAGTGGACCGCCAAGGTAAAAGCAAACATCAGATGTTTGCTACTGTGGATCAAGCCCTAAGGTATATTAAAAGTTTTGAAGTAATGAACTGTTGGCACTCCTGTGGGTGCCTGGTCTCATAAAGACCAGCCAAATTTCAAAGATGGATATTTTTGTGACTTCAAATCAAAGTTTACTCAGATGCTAATTCAGGCGCTTTGTTAAGATTATTGACAGTAATTATAAACCTGTGAGGCCAAGTCAAGGGCAGTTACTAGACTGCCACAGAACTCTTGTACCGACACCATCAGAAAACTTACTGTAAACCAAAGTTTTGAAAAATGTACCTTCATTTCTTCATTACCTCTACTGCCAGTCTCACTTAAAAAGCATCCCCCTCCTTTATTTGTTTACTGTTTTAATGAACCTTAAAAGCCAACCTAGTCAACATGTTTGTAACATCCACAGTATCCAACAAGTCTGGCAAAAAGAGCACCTGTGTAAGTGAAGAACCAAAAAACGGTTTTAAAGAAACCATTTCTATTCAAAACTATTTGCGCACAACAATCTTTCAAAAGTACCTGTACCACTTTTCACACACCAATGCTTCATGACTGAAGCGGAAAATCATAGTCTACCCCAATAATCAATGTTATGATTAAAATATATCAAAACGTATCACTTGTCATCCAGTGGGATCTCGGACAAACAGGGTTTGACCTTTTCAGACTAAATACCTTTCTCTTGGGAACTGCTACAAAAAATGGGCTGGAAAAGGCAAACATCATTTACAGCAAGGGGATGACTGACGAGCTAAACTGTAGGCTTACGTCTTCCTTAGGATGGCTTAGAACACCAGAACAAAGGGTCTAGCCAGTTGCAGATGTGCAGGAAGGAAAAGCAACAATGGGCCTTGTATGAAAGTTAAAACAGAAACAGTTTTATTGAAATAATACCTACTGTAAAGAAAAAACCCTAATGCTTGTTTTTATAGAAGAAAAGAAAGGGTTAGAAAGGCGTCTTTCCTCAAGAAGAAAAGATGACAAGCTCCACCAGTTATTTGGAGAAACGCCAATTACTTGAAAAAATACATCGTCTGGCAAGTTTCCTATGAATTAGATGTTCTCCAATGGCTACAAATCTAACTTCATTGTGATGTACTTCAACATGAGAATTCCTACAAGAACTTAATTACCAATGTCTTAATATCAAAAG